CACAGAATTACTAATGAGTGTCAGGGACATAGATCCACATGGGTAGATGTGTTCGGATTTTCTGTGGAATCAGAGAAGTGTATTGACACCTATCCTGGCTGAGAGCGCGGACCGAAGGGACACTTGAGCATTGTCTAGAATTTAGAAATATTTTTAGACCTCTGGGATTCTTTGGGGCGCCCCGAGAAAACGTTTACAGATTTAAACTACATTTTGAAGCTGACATATGAAATCAGGGAAATATTCATAACGCTTGTTAGATAGTCGCTAGCGAGCACCGACCGAAGGGAGGTGTGGGTGCTGTTTCCACGAACGAGGCCAAACGTTGCTCCCACTTAGGTTCGGTTATCAATGGTAAGAAGAGTGGGAGATTTAGTAATATTACGTCCATCTCGAAAGTCTGTTTTATGGATAAAAGCAAATCGAAATTGCGGAAACTCTATGAACTACACAAATTGAGCAAATAACGCTGTGACGCTTTCAAACTTTTGAGAGTCACATAATAAGCTAAGGTGGAAAATACGGACGTTCTCATCGTAAAAAATATCTCTCAATTCTGTACCAGCAAGATCGAGTTACAACAGAATGAATAATAATTCCGACAGTACACTCATTCGACTTACAGGCAATGAACTTAGTGAATCGATGCGATTCACGTTATTTATTGTTTTAGTAATTATGTTCTGGCGGTACTAGATATTTTTTCACGATACTTGTGGCTTCGCCCATTAACAACAAAAAGTGCCGGTAGGTGAAAAAGTATTTACACGTCGAAAGGAATCAAAAACAAGAAAAACGTGAATGTTCGATGTGTTCAGAGCCTTCCACTTGCACGTCCGAAAAATAATAGAATGTCCGTCGAAGCTCAGGGTATTATCTAACTTTGTGCAGCATTCACCGACTTGTTTTCATTGTCATCATCACATTATTCTGTTTGAGGAGAGGTTGCTCATAAGTTGAGCAAAATATTTGCGGAGAACGGTAATCCGAAAATTATTCAGACAGATCGTGGAACAGAATTCGGTGCGTTGACTGAATTATGCAAAGAACGGAGCATACGTCAAATTCGAAGTAGTGCATATCATCACGTAAGCATCACAAAAGCAAACATTGTTTCTTGATTAGACTGAAATGCGGAAAACAAGAGATGCAACTGTCATTAATCTAAATAAAGAAAAACAACTTGTAAAGCAAGAGTTTTTTTAAAATAATACTGGAGCAGACTTCCTTCCCTCTAATTTTCAGCTTCAGGCAATTTTAAAAATTGTCTAGATTTTAATTTTGCCTACAACAAATATTTCAGTTTCGCTGTTCAGCAATAAAAAATTTCTGATTCCTGTAAGTATGTTCCGATGATCTTAAGCCTTGGATAAACAGACAAGTTATTTATAGTGTATGCTAGAAAAACTTGAAGGTTAGTTATTTTTAATGTTTTTATATTTTTCCAAATAGGAATATAATGCTTTATTATCAATATTTGCTAATTGTCTGGATTATATATTTATCGATAAATATCAGCATTTATTCACTGAACATGTTGAACAAGCTATGAAACATGTTAAGAAAGTGTTAAATGAAGAAGAAAATATCTTTATGCTAGTTATTTATGTTCAGTTATTTCAAAATTTATATTATTTCTCATTGTTCTTAAGGTTACAACGAGTGATTCTATGTTTGATCTACTAACAACATTGAAAACAATATGTTGTTCCGCGTGGCCAGATCGCATTGAAATCATACATGAACTATAGTTAAATATTATTTCAAAATTATTGCAATCATCGAATATGAAGTTGAGAACAAATGGTTTGGAAGAGGTAAGACTACTTTTGTTTAGATTGCTTTTGATTACACCCTGCGTTCTTTAATAATAGCATAAAGTAGGTAAATTAGTTAAAACACTGTCGATTACTTTTCATTTAAAAATCATTAAATAGCCTGTTTTACTTTTCTGAAATTAATAACCAAATGGCTTAATTATTGTTTTGATGTTCTTCGACTATAGTTAGTGACCATAATTGAAAATTCAACTACGGTATTGCTCGACGTAACACAAAAGTATTGATTGTAATATTTTATCTCAATGGATAATTGAAAATTCAATTGTGTCCGAAGCTTTGAAAGGTATGAGTATATAGAGCCAATTTATCGAAGTTCAAAAGCATTTCTTTCTTTTTAGGAGATATAAATAATTCTGACTACATAACAAATACTGGTATACCGCATGTAGAAGTAGGGTATACTAAAGTAGTCCAAGCGGGAGTAGTCCTTAAGCAAATGATTTTGTCCTACCAGCCCCAAAAGATTCTGTTTTAGACCTAATGTTTGTCCTTTGTTCTGTTCAGCTCATAAATGCATCCAAGCTTATCTTATTAGAACATCAATCTCCAGAGCACTATAGATGAGGAAAAACCTTCTGTTTCTTCTGACAATTTGCCTTTTTTCTGTGTGAGTGAGTACTTGCCTGCTTGTCAGTGTCATAAACTGCTGCAGTGGGGTCTACTCCAGACTGAACTACTCCCAGACTTTAGAAAAAGACTTCAACAGGGTTTTTTACGCGTTTCGCTAAGAAAATGCAATGTTTGTAAAGAAAAAAGCAAGAAGTTATTACTCCAGTTTGCACTGCTATAGTTTGCATTACTGCAGTTGGGACTACTCCAGTTTACGCTACAACACTTTGGACTAATGAACTTTGCACTAAAACCTTGATTTCATCACAGCCGTTTCATGCAACTTGTAACGAAAGTACTGAGCCATCTACCTAAAAGTCGAACACTTTCGTCATAACCGAAAACGAACTTTCGTCACAAATGGTATTAACTTTCGTAACCACTATGTAAACATGGTTAAACTTTCGTCACATGCCGGTCTTCACACCATGAATTTTTGTCACTGCAAAACAGAACTTTCGTCAAGTGACGAAAGTTCACCGTTACCTGATGACGAAAGTTATGGTGACGAAAGTGCTGTGAAACATTTCGTATGACCATAGACTTACGGTCAATGGAATAAAAGGTTGTTTTGCTTTGCAAAATACAATTAGTTCGATAAGTCAGTAAAAACTATAGACAGACAGATCAATGTACTTACAACTGTTGACCACCAACTTCAACTTGTACTCTTTCCATTATTGCTTTAGCTTGGATTATCTTGTTCGGTTTTTTGTTCGAAAATTCGGGTTTTACCATTTCATGTTCGCCACTTGATTTGATCACGTCGATGATACGATTTTCAGATATACGATAGTACATTTTGTCTAAATTATACAAATGGGACTCAAGAATGTCAAGTTCTATTATATCATTTTAACCCTTGACTTTGAAGAAACTGCAGTTTCGAGTTAGTGCTTTTATTTTGCTCTAAATTATCCATTTTTTCAAACCTTTTCTCAACCTAAAGTTTCACTTACTTAACGCTGCATGCACCGTTCGTGTAGCACCGCCAAAACGATTTTTGTAATAACACAAAACAAGTTCAGCCACATCTTCATCAGCGATCAAAATTAGACCACCGAGCGTAACACCTTCTTTCTCATCACCACCGAGAACATCATCAACATAAAGTTTGATAGAAATGTTTTTCTTATTTTTTCGAATGAATTCACAGGCTTTATGAATGTTGGGATCGTTCGACGTTTTAGCTTAACTAAACAAGGAACAACTACTACAAAGTAGAAAGACGATAAAATTTAGCGAGGTTTTACTGAGATGAGTCTGTCTACTGACTTTACCTGCTTCGATCTACACGAAACAAATGAGAAATATATAAAAACAGCTAAAATACTTACACCAACCTAACTATACAAATAAACAATGAAACACAGAAACACACAAGAAACTACAGAAGATATACGGCAAATATTTAACTAATGCGCAAAAAACAATAAAATTGATTGTACAAAGAAATCAAAAGGAAACGCAACTAAAGAAAGAATGGCGAAAAAAGGCAAGAACTGTATGAACAAAACAGAGGCGAGTGCAACGAAAAACTTATTTGTTTTAGCTGAGCGATGAAGCGTGTGATAGTCTAAATAGATAGCTATCTGAAAAGGGAAGCAGAATCTTCCATTTCATCCTACATATCCGATGAGCAACTATCACTTTTCCGCAGATCCCTGATTTTATTAAGTTACTTTCAGCCGAGTTTTGCAATCAGAAACACAGAAGAAATTTCATAGTCGTGTTGCACTGCTGTCAGCTAGTGAACGCACAGTAGATATGAAAAGTGCACATCTCGTCCTTGAAACACTATTTTCTTCCTAATTTTACGTATTTTCAGTCTATCTTATTCATATATGACTCACATCCTTTAATTCGTCATGACTTAGATCCCTTAAACGATGCAATTTAATTCGTTTCCATTAATTATCCACGAATTCTACCAAAAAATCCTTAAAATATTTTAGGGTTAGTTGTTATAGTAATATTCCTCTTTTCTTCCAATCATTCTCTCCCTTTGCCTTACTTGAACTTCTATGATGAATTCTGCTGTCCCTTAAGTGGTTGGATTCCCTCAGTCGGTGACCACACACGGGTATAGCTGAATTCGTGGCTAGAATAAAACCATTATAGACGATGAAATAAAAATTTGAATTAAACTCAGATCAGTATTTTTATTTTAGTTTCTTCACGTTCTTCTCCATTTCTTATTAATGGCTTCATGTGTCATAAGCCAGCATATCTATACTAGCGTCTCTAAACTCGCTTTTCCTATTGGTTCGTAAAGCAAGTAATGAGAATAAAGGAACGGCGTCTACAATGATTCTTTCTTTCAGAAAAGAATGAAGTCAGCTGAAGGGGAGAGAGAAGGAGAACAAAACTGCTGCTCTTGGTATATACAGTATGTAGACTACTTTGTTTAATCTGCTAAGGTGTAATTAATAACGGCAGTATATCCTATATTAAGAGTTTTTTCCATTATACCAGTGGGTGAGTCATGCTAAATGTGTTTTACAGTGGGTTATGATATTCTCAAGGAATGACCGAAGTTAGATCTTTACCGTGATACTTGCCTCGGTCGTAGCTTTTTTACTACATATTCTGATAGAGGAGAATCAACTATGCAGGTCTTATAATCGCATTTCGTGCTCCTGATTTGGCATAAGACGAAGACAACGAAGGGATACTTTTGTGAACTCTTGTGATTAATGAATAAACATGGTATATAACTAAGATTTCACATTTTAATTTTGTTTAATCTTCTTATTTTTTGTTAAAATAAATATTTACATAGAGTAGAGATGTTTTTCACAGTAGTTATATCCTACATTTATTCATTATTAATTTCTACTGCTCTCAGTAACGATTATCTCTTGTTGTCTCAACACCATTTTAATCCTCACAAACAAACATGTAATTGCTTTATTTTTGTAGATCAAGATTTGTGTAAATGATTTATCCAAATTATGTTTGAATAGTGACATCCGTGAACGGTGCTTTATACGAACTTATTGAGCAATTCCAGTATTTATCCATTGCCGATGAAAAAACACATATCTTGAGAAAGATGTAACTGAGGCTTATTATCTGATATCTGTAG